ACTAGTTCAATTCCAACCCTATTCGCGTTCCCAGAATAAGCAGCTTCAAAACTTAAAAGAAAAAGTCAGTGTATCGGATCTGGAGAGAAGAGATAGGAAGAAGTATGTAGGAGAGCAGTTTCGGCACTATGTCTACGACCCCTTCAAAATTTTGCCGATTAGGCCATCTCCAACCAAAAAACTCATTCTCAAACTCATTTTGCAATAACTGTTATGTCGAACAGTAATTCATCTCCAACCGATATTCTATTTCTTATTAACTCTTACGAATTTTCAATATTACCCACATATTTATTAAATTTATAAATTAGACATTACTACAATTTAACATTCGATTATAATAAAATAATAAAATTAATTACAAATCAATAATTCGAACATATTAAAAATTGTAATAAATATTTGTTACACATGTACAATTCATGAAATTTAATTTTTCTGTATCAATGTCGAAAAATATTTTAAAATATTATATATTATTTGCATTTACAATCTATACTTTTTCTGCAATATTCAATTTTTCATATATTCTTTTTCAAATATTTTGAAAATGTTAGATTTAGCATTACAGTCTATAAGTTTGTAGTATTACTTTTTTTTTTTCCTTAAATTTATTGCTACAACCTTACTTGTTAATACAATTTTGTTCCATGGATTAGCAAAAAAACTTTAACAGTATTACACTAGTTTTTTAAGATATTTACATAACAAGATAATAAAAACTAAATAGACAACCAAAAATATATTTCTACTAATTTTTACACATTTATATAAAATTAACAAAATTAACACATCAAAAGTATACTCGCTAACAAAAAAAAATTAAGCCATATAATTTGTTTTTTTTTTTTAAAAAAAAAAAAGACATTTCTACTAATTTTTACACATTTATATAAAATTAACAAAATTAACATATAATAAATAAGCCATATAATTGTTTAAAAAAAAGATATTTCTACTAATTTTTGCACATTTATATAATATTTAAAAATTAACATATCAAAAATATACTCGCTAACAAAAAAAAAAATTAAGTCATATAATTTGTTTAAAAAATAGTTTTATGGCTGCATAAATTTATTAGCTAACAATAAATAAATTAATACATATAATTTCTAAAAACAAAAATATTATTGCATATATTATCTTTTAGATGATGTTAATGAAGCTAATAACGGCATGTAAACAAAATGTTAATTATTGAATAAGTAAATATAATATATATTATAATAGAAGTATTGACAATATAAATGAATTAAAACTTTAAAATCTATTGTTATTTTTACTTGTATTGTGGGCCTTTTATATAATTTGTCAAAAAAATTGGAGTCAATAGCATTTTGAAAAGATCCAACGCATTTTATGCGTTCAAACGCATATTTGCATTTGAACAAGGAGAGAGAAACCAGAAAATTCATTTTGCGATTGCGTTTGACTTTCGATTGGGCAATTTTTACTGCATTTTTTGTGTTTTGAGTATCGGTTGGAGAAGGTCTTAAGACAAAGAATGATTGAACCCCACCTTAGGGAAAAGATACAAAAGTGCATATCTATCAGGCACGACATGGCAGAGGTCGCGGCCCTGAGAAAGAGTGGCCGAGCTCGAAACTCGACAAAAATTGGCCAATAGCATCTTCCCCGCCACCTCTATTTGCAAACAACCCCAGTCGACTCAACCGCACCATTATCGTCTGCCATCCTACTCGACCCAGATAAAATAAAATACAGTGATAATACTATTGAAAAATTAAATAATATACTAATAAAAATAAAATTTGATGATCGGGTGCAATTCAGAATTATAAATTCCACCTTAGAAGTATCTATGTACATTTAAAAAACAATTCAATTTTTAAAAATATATTTTTTTCTTATATACTATTGTTTAAATGAAAAATAAGTTAATAAAAAACAATGTATAATAATTTTAATTATAACACTTGGTAATTATGGAAATATATAATATATCTAAATATTCGAATAGATACTATGTAGCTTATAGGTTGAAAAAATGAATTAAAGAAATAAATATAAATAAAAAATAAATACAACATAAAAATAAAATGTTTAATCATAAAAAATTTCAGTGTTGCATAAGTATTAAAGTTACTAAAAATTAAAATTAGCAAAACTTAACCAAGCTGACCCAAAGTTTCACGAGTTTAAATGAGTTACGTCGACACATTTATTAAACCAGCTCAAACACAAAATGCTCAACTAGACTGACTTATAACTCATATTTCCTAAGAATAAAAGTTGACACATTTATTAAACCAGCTCAAACACAAAATGCTCAACTAGACCGACTTATAACTCATATTTCCTAAGAATAAAAGTTTTCGCATATTTATATATAAGCTTGATTCGCCTCCTTGAGATGATCAGCTCACCAAGATAAGGAAAGCAGAAAAACAAAAGGAGCAGCCTTTTCTATCATCACTAACATATTGCATGGTAAATGGCTCTCTAATTAAACTTTCAAAGCCACCGTTTTCAAGCAATCCCACATCGAAGGCTTAAATATTTCTTCCCACATCAACCAATACAAAATATATATATGAGCTTTTGAATCTCCCCTTACTCACTTTTAGGATATCTATATAGAGTATAGAGTTAGATGTGAGGAAACTCAGTAGTGCAGTCGTTTTCGTAGCCTATGTAGACTTACTATATCACAAAATAGAAAAATCTGAGCTAGCCAGTGATAGTAAGAATATTTGCATCCATTTATGATGCTTTACTATCCCTTGCTTTTAACAAGTAAATTGGTTGCACAAGAAACAAACTCACAAAATTTAAAGATTCTGAAGCAAACATGCTATTGCGAAACTAACTCACAAGTCTCACCGAAGAAAGCTACGTCTTCTCGGAATAGTGAAAGTGGAGAAAAAGAGAAATTCTCATTACATAAGTTTTCATAATCCAAAAACAACGATAAGAATCTGGATCGCCAGACTTTGTGCAGCCAACAAAACCAACACGAGCCCATTAACTGCAAAGAAGAGTAAACACACATTTAGATTGGAATGCACTGCCAAAACAGTAATCAATCATAGCGCCTATATATAAATCAAACAGATCAATAGAAAAAAAAAATACACTTTCATATTGGAAACTATAACATTGTGCATCAATCACAAACATTCAAGGAAATAAAGGCAAAAGCAATCCCAAAGCAACTGCAATACAATTGGAACAGTGATCATATCTGTAAAACTACTTCCAACATAGCCTAAATAACTTCCGAAACATTTTCACAATGAATTCATGCAATTATGCAAAACCAACCGGCATAGAATAGTTGAAATGCAATTGAACAACAAGATATACCAATATAGCAATGAAAATCAGCATAAGTGAAAGCATTTTAACAGCCCAACGAAAGGGATTTGCGAGATTTCACCTCAAATATTGCTCGGGTACATGAAAACCCTCACTCTATCTCCCTGTGTTTCCACACAAATTCATAATCATAAGCACAAATGATAAGAAGTTCAACAAGAAAAAGAATTCAGAAAAAATAAAAATCAAGTCTTTAAAGTTGACAAGGCTTACCATGGATTTGGGGGGAAGATTCGACTTGAACTTGGCGCGAACGACGCCACTGTTGCCGTGTGGGCGCGTGACTTTCCCCCAAATGCAGCGGTAGTGAGAGCCGTTCTTCTTCACCTTGGCCTTGTAAATGTACGCCATTCGCTTCCCAAGGTACCACGACACTTCTTCCTGCGTGTTCACCCCTTCAATCTGGATCAAGGACGTGTTTGGGTACTGATTCGATTTTGACCTAACATCGTCAAAACATCACACATTCAACCTAATCCCAACCAAACGGTGCCTAATTTTGAAGGAAAAGGTAAAAAACAAGCTGGAATTTTTTTATATTTCGATTTTACCTTTTGTAACCGAGGATGGTGCCACGTACGTAGAGCCTGACGCGTTCCCCTTGGCGTCCCTTCACCATTGTTGCTCAGAGGAAAAAGCTTCGGCGAGCTTGAGAAGGTGATGCTCAGTGGTAGTGAAAGACAGAAACCCTAAATGCTAGTGGCTCGCGTTTTATGAAGCTAGCGTTATTGGGCCAGAACGGAGCACCTTTAGGGCCCAATATTTATTGTTGGGCTCGGTATATGAATTGGTCCAAGAAGAGAATGAGATAAAATTGTAGTCTTTAATCTTTATGCATTAATGTATATAGAAAATATTCTTTTATTATTAATAAAAAGAAATTACAAATCAATCAATGATAAATGAAGATACTTAGTATATTTACAAGTGAAAAATTATAAATAAATGAAGGTGGAGAACGTGATTTTTCTCTTTAGAAAATGTAATAGGAAACTATGAGAGTCGTTGTTTTTAAGATATAATTATATGAAAAAAAAAAAAATCTAATTAGACACCTATAAAATTTAAAAAGTTAAACAAAATAAATACGTAAGTGGCATATGCACAAACATATTTACGTTAAATCCAATATGTAAAATGAAGGATGACAAACTACAAGTTGAATATAATTAAAATAAAATGAACAACATTTCAAACTATTATAATTTTTGTCAAAAAAGATGACATATCAGCATTACTATACTCTATCCATATTTAGTCGTGCTATAAACCCCTAAACGTGCGCCACGGTACAAACGAAAGTACTCGATGGTCAACAGATCTCCTATAGTTTTGATTTTCTTATTTTATAGGAACTAATTAATTTCCTAAAATTTTACTAATTGAGATGTTTACTTGGTTGATATTGTCAGGCACAGTAATTTATGAATTTAGGTTTTTGCATAATTTATGAATTTTTATCTTAACTTGGTTTGTTAAACGTCACATTAAACTAGCTAATTGATAAACGAACTAATTTTGAATTTATTTATCAGCTCAATTTGATAAAAAATTAGGTTTGAACTAAGTCTCAAAAGCATTGGTTCATTTCAAAGCAGTTTATACTTTGTACATCTACAAAGTCTCATCACCTAATATTGCTAACATATTGCTTTCTTTTCCTATAAATAAAATGATACACGCATTAATAAACTATAGAAAACAAAATACAGAACATAATTAGGATTATTTAGATATCCATGCACCTTTACCACATATCAAATCATCCTTTTATCCCCTATTCCTTTATATATTAATTCAGAACGTGTTGAGGTTAAGTAGCAGACTCGCATGCTTCGGCATTCTATGTGTCAAAATTACATGTTTCGTTATTAGCTTAGATAAATTCTAATTTACTTCCAAACCAAACATAATTAAGTTCGGGTTATCCACAGGGGCGTAGCCAGAAAATTTTTTGACCCGGGGCTGAATATTATTGTAGCTACTATTGGAACCGAGTAGACATGGTCATAGGCCGACCCAACTTGTCGGTTCGGGCCGAACAGACACAAACCAGCCTGTTGACCATGGGTCTTGAACCGGCCCGTAGTTTTGACCAGTTCGGTTCATGTGCAATACTTTATAGTTTATACATTTTGAACCGACAGTTTCGGTTCCGCACTGGAACCCAAACCCGAGGTTCGGTTTTTTTTTTTTTAAAAAATATATATTATTTTTTCATTATTTTTTATTTTTTTTCAATGAACCGGACGACAAGTGAACCTATAACAATAGAGGCGGCAATACCATCACTTGAAGGACGATCTCGACTTATCGACATATGCTCTTTTGGCTTAAAAAATGAATTGATAGTCTTTCTTTTCTTCATTTCTTGACCCTCTATTATGATTAAAACCTATAAAGTTAATATAAAATAGTTAATGAATCAATTATGATATAAGCAAACTAATAATAAAAATTAAAAAGAATTGAAAGGGCAATCAGAATTCTTAATTACTTCAAGCGAACACCAAAACTAATACTAACAAGTAACAACATAAATGGCATATCAAGTAAAACTAGTCAACTTCTTCAATCTCAACAAAACAAAAATCCACTAAACATCAACACTCCTAATAAAATAAATAGAATCACTATTTTCTTGATTTGATAACTAAATGACAATCACAAAATCAAATTGAAACAAAAATGGCCACGTTGCAAAAGTCAAAAGTGGTGGAACTGCTTTTATATTTTTTTTAAGTAGCTTTTATAAATTAAACTAACAAAGACAAAACCCCCCAAATCCCAATACCCTAACTAAATTACATATGAACAAAAGAGTATTTGAAAAAGAAAAATGCAAATTTAGATAAAGGGAATCTTGCTATTTCTCATAAGTTAGTTCAACTGAGACATAAAAGAGGTACGAACCGGGAAGTAGAATCAGAAAGAAAACCCTTACCAACGAGGTTAGCGGCCGTAGCCAATCGGGTCGGGCGGTGGCAGATGGGCGGCGTCTCTGCAAGGAGTGAAGTCGAGACCGTGACGGTGGAATTAACGGCGACAGGAGTGAAGCTTGGGCCGTGGCGGTGGGATTGGCGCTTGGCTGCGGCAGGCTATGAGGAGCAAGCAGAGAATGAAGGAAGACAGATTGTCGATTCAATTCTCCTGGAAGTTTTCTAACTGAATAAGTATGTTCTAGCTTAATTTTTTATGCATAATTGGTTCGGGCCTTTAGTGAATAAATGAGTTGGTGTTTTAAATTTTAATTATTTTGGTTTTTGTTGTTGGCTAATCACAAGCTTGTAAACAAATCAAACTTTTTTGATTCGATTCGATATTCGAATTCGATATTCGTGATTCGAATTCGAAATATTCGAATTCGAATTCGAATACGAATAATGTTTTATATTCGAAAGTTAAACGAGTCCGAATTCGAATTTGTAGATATTCGATTCGAAATTCGAATATTCGATTCGTTAGCAATAATTATATAAATTTTATAAATTATATATAGTATACATTTTGTTTATAATATATGTATATATATATTGCTATATTTCTACTATTTTTATGACATAAAATTGAAAACATTATAAATTAACAAATTTTCCTAAAAATATATAAAAAATAAAAATTATTTTTTGTAATTATAATATTTTTTAATTATAATTTTTTTGAAAACGAATTCGAATCGAATCGAATATGTTCGAATATTCTAAACGAATCGAATACGAATCAAAAAATGAGTTCGTTAACGAATCGAATACGAATTCGAATCTTCGAATATTTTAACGAATCCGAATCGAATCTCTGAGTATTCGCTTTGATTCGATTCGTTTACAACCCATATGGGCTAGGGCCTTTAGGAAATAAATGATTTGCTGTTTTAGTTATTTGGGTTTTGTTGTTGGGCTGGACATGTGGGCTAGGTATTAAATGGCATGGGGCTATATAACTAAACTCTTATAATATAATTTTTTTTTCTTTTTTTTTTTTAATTTTACATGGGGCTGGAGCCCACCCTAGCCCATGGGTGGCTCCGCCCCTGGTTATCCATATATATGTTGATTATTTATGGTTATGTTACATGTATTAATTACATTTTAATATCAATTTTATTATAACCATTAAATTGTAAATATATGTTAAAAGTTAATAACTTTTGTATTTTTTATCAGTTTTACAAATATAATAAGCTTCGATTTAATATCCATATTGTATGTATAAAAAAATTATTTATCTTTATAACTATAATAAAATTATTTTTTAACATTTATTAGAAAAATAAAATTATTTATCAATTAATCTATTTATATTTCAAGTAGTTATATAATATAACACATGTAAGTCACACAAGTAACAAATGTCATTCTAAAATATATAATAATATATATTTTTTATAAGAAAGTAAATAAAATTTAAAATAATATTTCATTAATTTTAAAATTTATGAATAATTTTTTAACAAGCACTAGTGTAATACACGGGTGTTGTACTAGTATAGTATAAGGCAAGCAAGATTATATATACACCTAATACACGCAGATTTCACTGTATTGCTTTTTTTAAAACATATTATCAGCAAATTATAAACATCCATTTTTAATTATTGAATTATGTATTTGTAGTTGACTTTAAATTATAACTAATATCTTTCTGTTTTGGTGGTTGTTAAAATGGAACATTGATTTACAATAATTTATTGTACATAATCTGGATACAATATTCAATTGACATCACCATTTACTTTGCTAATTATTAAAAAGAAATTTGTGGAAACGAAAATGTGTACTTCCTCTTACAACCGGAGGCCCGCATGTAAATTTCTGTAAATTTACATATTTTTCAATATTGATTTTAAAAGTTTAAATTTAATTCATATTTATGCACCAAACATTGGGGTAATTTATTATCNACAAAAAAAAAAATAGTAGCCCAAAATCAAATACACGTATTCTCAGAATACGTTTTAATAATTAGATTTCATTTAAAAAACGTATTCTTAGAATACGTGTTATAATTAATTTTATTTTTCTAATAAAAATTAAAAAACAATTTAAAAAAATAAATAAAACATATTTTTATAATACGTTTTATATTTTAAAATTAATGAAAAAAAATTAATATTTAGTATGTATTTTGTGTTTCGTTTGAGATCGTCTGAACTCGGAATTGAGTTTCGTTTTTTCCTATATGAAGCTAACGACCCCCTCTATTCAATGATGCTTGCATGACCAAATTATTCTTGAAATCTCTTGACCGACGGAACACCCGAAATCTCCTCTTCTCGCTTATTTTGCTACTATTCCCACAGAAATTCAAGTTTCTCTAATTAAATGCTCGGAACTCCGAAATACTCGATAAATTCCCTGCATGACATCGTGCCTGAATTATTGACATTCATCATATTTTCATGCATTATGAGTGATATATTGTGATATTTGGTCATGGTTATCGTGTGATTGTGCATTATTTTGTGTTATTTATTAATCTATGATAGAGATATTTTTGTCGTTAGTTTTGTAGGAAATATGCCCGGAAATGCATTGGAAATGGAATCGGGACGAAAAACGGCGAAAACGGGTGCAGAAGAGGTCACACGACTCGTGTGGGTAGTGACACGGGTCGTGTGGGTTGAGAGAATAACAAGTGCAGCTGCGGCTTTTTCACACGGGTCGTGTGGGTTGTGACACGGGTCGTGTGACCTCACACGACTCGTGTGACCCGGTCGTGTGACCAGTCGTGTGAGTCTGAAAGTTCGCCGAAATGTTGAGAAAAGTCACACGACTCGTGTGGCATGTGACACGACTCGTGTGACGCGCAGACCAGACCTGCGGGGAATAGGATTCTTGTGCGATTTCTTCCCTTTTTCGACCCAGAAGTGCCCTACAGTATAAAAGAGGCCTTAGGAACTCGTTTTTGGGACTTTTGACACCATTGGAGGCCTAGAGAAAGCACGAAACACACGAGGGATTCGAGGAAGTCAAGATTGAAGATTCGGGAACTAACGGCGACAATAGTTCTTCTTTCTTTTCTCTTTTTCTTCTTCATTGAACTCATGGATTTATTTATTTTGAGTTTTGAGAATATGTTTAGTAGCTAAACCTATTAGATTCTAGGATTGGTTAGTACTCGGATTAATTTATGATTTAGTTTTTATTTCTTTCATTCCGGTTTATCTTTCGTTTATGAATTTCTTTTGCTTATTATTATTGTGTGAGTAGATGGCCACTATGAATGCATATTTGTGATCGATTTGAGACCGAGAGGAGATAATTGATTGCTAGAATTGGGAGATTTATAACGTAAGAGAATAAACAGACCGAGAGGTTGATAGGACCTTGCGAGAGAACGAAAATCCTAGGAACTTATGGGAGTTAGTTGTTCATCTTGAGACCGAGAGGAGATAGATAACAATTAATATCTACGATTTGACTTGTTCGAGAGAAAGGTTTGAAATCAATTTAGCGATTATCTCTACGATTGGTAAAATTAAATAAGGTTTGTTTGAATATAAACGTTTCATGAATTAATTCCGAGGAACGCTTAGCCTAGAATCTACCTTTCGTTTCTTTGTTTATTTTTATTTTTATTTTTAGTTAGATTAGTTCTAGTTTAATTCTTAGTTTATAATCATCATTCAATTCACTAGTCTAGATAATATTGAATCGTCATTATTTTAGTACTTAATTAATTTAACTACAATCTCTGTGGAATACGACCTTGCTCGCCACTACCTATAGCTACTCCGTACACTTGCGGATAGCAAAAATAATCAGCGAACAATTATCTACACGCCCCAACTCGATTCTCAGTAAACCGAAGTCAAAGTCGACCTTGCGGGATCCACGTAAACGACTTTTTTCATTTATTTTACTAATATGCACCCTCAAACTCGAGCTTCTCTAAATAAATGATCGGGCAATCGAAATAATAAATCGATGCCATAAACGGCTTCTCCTCTTCTCGTGCTTTCTCGAAAGCACTTTTCATTAATGCTCGACTCGCTTATCAAGGCCTGACGGAACACCCGAAGTTTCTTCTTCTCGCTTATTTTGCTACTATTCCTACGGGAATTCAAGTTCTCTAATTAAATTCTCGAAACTTCGAAATACTCGATAAATGCCCCGCATAACATCGTGCCTGAATTATCTACACGCCCCAACTCGATTCTCCGTAAACCAAAGTCACACGTGACCTACGTAAACGGCTTTTTCATTTATTTTACTAATATGCACCATCAAACTCGAGCTTCTCTAAATAAATGATCGGGACCTCGAAATAATAAATCGATGCCATAAACGGCTTCTCCTCTTCTCGTGCTTTCTCGAAAGCACTTTTCGTTAATGTTCGACTCGCTTATCGAGGCCCGACGGAACACCCGAAGTCTCCTCTTCTCGCTTTTTTTGTTACTATTCCGGCGGGAATTCAAGTTTCTCTAATTAAATGCTCGAAATTCTGAAATACTCCCGCATTACATCATGCCTGAATTATCTACACGCCCCAACTCGATTCTCGGTAAACCGAAGTCACACGACCTTGCGGGACTCACGTAAACAGTTTTTTCATTTATTTTACTAATATGCACCCTCGAACTCGAGCTTCTTTAAATAAATGATCGGGACCTCGAAATAATAAATCGACGCTATAAACGGCTTCTCCTCTTCTCGTGTTTCTCGAAAGCACTTTTCGTTAATGCTCGACTCGCTTATCGAGGCCCAACGGAACATCCGAAGTCGCCTCATTAAATAAGCTAATATATAGCGAAAAATGAAGAAAATTAAATATAAATAATTAATTTTTTTATAAAACGTATTACGATAATACGTTTTACAATCAATTAAATGCAAAACATATTACCGTAATACGTTTTACAAATAAGTATAAATTATAAAATTAATTTAATTTGTAAAACGTATTTTCGAAATACGTTTTACAATTAATTAGTTGTAAAACGTATTACGGGAATACGTTTTACAATTAAATATAAATTATAAAATTAGTTTTATTTATAAAACGTATTTTTGAAATACGTTTTAAAATTAAAACGTAGACCTTTTGATTTTGGTCCACATTTTAATTTTTGTTTTTGTTTTTGTCCACTTATTTTTTTGAATTTTTATTTAAAGAAAAAAATTCCAAACATTGTAGTTTGTATGTCAATCACATTCCGAATTTCATTAGTTGATCAATATTTAATTAAATATTTTTTTCTTTGTAAATTCAATTATTAGACATCTAATGAAATGTCGTCTAACTACAAATAAACACTAACTATAGTTGTTAACACATAAAAATCAAGATATCAAAATCAAGTAAAAAATATAATTTATGGTACTAAAAACAAAAACCAAATAAGTTTAGGTATCAAAATAAAAAATTTCCCCTCACAAGTACATCAAACGAAATAATTTAAATGACGAATGGTCCATGGGCCCACGGCCCAGCTGGACAAAATATTCTCCGCGTTGACCCATTCCCCATTCCCTCGTCGACCCCAGCTCCTATTGGCTGAGATAATTTATTAATTTATCATTTGATTAGTTAATTAAGTAAATAAATAAATTTGTGGCGAGAAAAAAGTTATATGGGACGAGGGTCTTACGCGTGGCTCATCTGCGAGGCGTATAGCGTGCGCCGCGGTCCACTGCACCACACCGCCAAGACAACAATTCATGTCAAAATCGGTGCTTAGGTGGCCGCCGGCGTGCAACATTTTTATCTCCACACGTTTGTCGGTCCATTTATTTGAGCTCGATCGAACTAGGAAACTTCGAGCCAATGAGGTTCGCGTTGGACTTTCCTAAATCTGATTTTTAAGCTCATTGAGTAGGACTCTGAATGAACCGAGTCGAGCATTTGATTTATCGAGTAAATTTTGATTTTTTTTAATTGCTATTCAAGTTCGACCTTAAGATTCGGTTGTACTCATAATAAAATATTTAATTTTTTTTAATTGCTGCTTTTAAGATTCGGTTGCACTCAGTAATAAAATATACAAAAATGCTCGATCGATACGAGATCGACTTCAATAAAAGTTCTTATGCAAATAATAATTTTTTTTTAACTTAAATTTTGCCTCCTTAATGTGGCTCCAAACAAGCCGAGTTGAGCTTGATTTTTTTTTATTTTTGTATTTAAGCTCGGGCTCAACTTTTTAAAACTCAATTTGACTCGTGAAAAATGTTACAATCATTCGATATCGGTATGGGATGGACTCGAGTTTGGCTTCAACTTTCAAAGTTCTTATTCAAATCAGTTTTTTTATTTTATTTTTTTTTCTTTCTTGAGTTTGATTCAAGTGTAACTCAAATTTTGCTTGGGATGAGAATTCTCAAGTGGTTAATCGATCATTCGAACTTATAAAATACATGCTCGAGTTTAAAATTGAGCAATTCATGCTCGGTCAAACTCAAAGTCGCGAGCCGCTCGATTCACTTGCAGCACTAACTTATATTTTTGCCCTCCAAAATAATGGCTAATGGCTAAAACGAACTAGCTTATGGGCTTGTCTGATTTTTCATTAAGAAGAAAAATCAACCTGAACTAACAACTCGTTTGAAATTTATTTAAGGAAACAAAAAAGGATTGTCATGCATGCCAATTCTTATGAACTCCATTGCATCACATATTTTATTTGTTTTTATCTACATTACTCTTATGAATTGTGCCATGTATTTCATAATTTCTTGAATATAATATAAAATAAGACTATACTTTTCTTCTAGAGAAGTTAGGTCCATTTTTCATTGGTATCAAATTTAAAACAATCATGGGGAATATCTGAATTCAACTTTTCTATATCGCCACTTGAACTAGTGGGCACGCTGCGCTACTGGTAAAGTTTCATTTGAAGGGAAAAAAAATTAAGATGTGGAAAGAAAACAGATGTATTAATAATTTATATTTTGTTGACAAATAGATAAATAAAAATAAATATATACCGCTTATAGAGTGAAGACCAATACTTATTTTAATAGTGGCAGTGATTTAAACATGCACATTATTTTATTTTCCTCTGTTTTTATACCAAAAATTCCACTTTGTATAGTAATATAATTGCAAATCACCTGTTAACACCAAGTTCGAGTTTCTAATACTTGTATCAATCGAGTTCAGCTCATTTATTAATATTAACTAGTTGAATTCGAGTCTTAGCGAGCTGTTATAAAAAAATTTACATAAAAACTTTTATTTTCGAGCTTTATCGACTCGACTCGAGCAGTTAATTTCGTTTAATGGCTCATAACTATAAGTAAAATTTATTTTAAAAGTTGCTATTGGGTTATCTTTTTCAGCTTGTCAACCACGAGTTTGGTTAAGTCCACTAATTAAGCTCACAAGTTAGTCATCAAGAAATTGATACCCACAATGAATTTGAATATTTTCCACACGATCATTATGCGCCACGTGTACAGTTAGTTTGTGTCATTTACTTATTTCATTTCATTTTGTTGGTGCTAATGGCAAAATGAATCATCATCAACACGGATTATAAACTTCATAATATGGATCTGATAAGTATATATGATTAGCCAAAATATATTTTGAAGTACAATTAGCACTCATTAGGAGCAAATTTAATTTAACAAATGAGATATATAGTATATTAGTAAGCACTATAATCTAATTAAGTTGTAACTTATGTAATTAAATTTTAAGTTTTTTTGTACATATAATCATTTTCGGTTATGATGAACTTTTAAGAAAGAATGAGTTTCTCTCATATGTTTTTGAGGTAGCATTTAAAGGACACCAAAGGATTATATTTTGTTTTTGGTTTTTTTTTTTATCTTTTAGATGACATATTAACACATATATTATACTACTAAGATTTCATTAAAGTTATCAATTAGAAAATATTATAAATATTATCATTAGCAGATATGAAAATTCTAACCATAATATTCCAATTCTTGAAAACAATAAATCAGTAAGTGAATTGCAGAACGCATCATGTACGATATGTCTATATACCAAAAATCTGGAATATTTTAAGTAATATATTATCTGGTTGCATTGCTTCTCAAATAACATATTGATACTTAAATCATTTAAATTCTTACTTTATTAAGCAAATGTGGAATTAGATAGCATGTACCACAAGCTTAATACATAGGTTCCAAAATTGTTTAATGAGGATAAGAAAAAAACTCAACTTGGGCAATACTTTTCCCCAATTAAATTGCCTCATTGAATAGTTTTATTTTTATAGCATCTTTCATTCATTTAACTGTACAATGGTACTTCCATAACAAGAATCAATAATTATAGGCAAAGATCATGATATGTAACAAATCATACAAGAAAAATTTAAGAAGCACATGCACAATAAAAGAAGAAGAAAAAGAATAAAAACGATCAAATTCAATATTTTTGCCTACAAGTACATGCACATGCAAATAAAAGAAAGTGAAGTAAATGCTGAAAATTAAAGGTAATTAGTGGTAATTTCATATTACCCCCATTTACTGAAAATTCGTCCCATTTTGATGAAAGAGTAAGAAAATGAAGTTCACTTCATGCCTCCCTTCTCAACCGAACTTATTAATTCAGGCTAGATTTCTCCCAGATATAATAAATTAAGGAAAATTCCAAAACTATATGCTCAAATCGAATTTTTTAATATTTGACCAACACATACCCACGAAGTTTTCACCTTCCTCTCGAGTACCAACTGTGAAGGAAATAAAATAAAAAATAAAAAACAAAAAAAAAAGTCCATTTTACACATTGGTAACTAGTAAAAAGTCCTTTTATCGCGCTGTAAGTGGCCTTAGTTGAGGGCATGTCACAATTGGGACTCTGTAGTCGGTTATAGTCAAACTATATTTAATAGGTAAATTTTGGTTTATTATTCATGTTTTCTACATACACTACTCAAACGATTTAAATTATATCTATAGTAGATTACTACATTTAACTTCTATTCAACGAATTTATTAGATACTATTTCAAAATTAGTTATCAATTATTTAGCAGCAGGCTACTATTACAAACTCTGATATTAATCACTATATAAATACATGCAATCATTTTATTCTTTTGCTTATCACATCATATTTAAAATCAGTGAAAGCATATCACTATTAATTCAACGGTTAAAATTTATTTTAAATACTATCTACAAGTAAGTAGGGGTAAATTCACCCACAATTGAACATGAGATTTTACCTAAATTACATACGTAGAGAAAAGGTAAAAAGTCAATTTGGAATGTAGACAAAAATCTACTGACCCATACATTGGCACAAATGCAGAGGATTGCACTAATGAGTAATGGCAACCAATACTAGGCTCAACTGCCCAATCACATGAATTCCTCACTCATCTCATTAGATTACGGCCTCTTTATGTCCAAAATACACACACTAATAGTTAGAAATATTTATCGGTGGACATGTTAGATACATCATAATCGTAATTTAATAAAAACAATGTATATTTTAAGGTAACATATTTTTATTTATATTATTGTAGGGTACTCCCTCCATTTTGAAATATAAGGCGTATAAAGATTTCTCATTTTTTTTGAAATATAAGGCGCGTTCAAAAATCAAGACAAATTTTTGCATTTTTTTCTAAATATACCCTCATTGTGTTGAAATTAAGGAAGTGTGGAGTGGTTGTGATTAGAGTAAATAAGGTTAATTTAGTCAATTTATTCATTAATTAATGTCTCCTTAATATTTGTGCAATAACCTTAAATGCCTTATATTTCAAAATGGAGGGAGTATGATATTTCACTTTAAAAGCATACACGTATATTAAAAAAAACATATTATCATACCATTGTAAGAAAAAAAGGTAAAACAAGAAAAAATATATAAAAATAAATTGATAAAATTTATTAAGTACGGACTGTTGTGTGAAACGGCTTAATTGTTTGGCCTGGCGAGACTTTTGTAAATTTGTAACAAAGTTGCATATTTTACTATGAGATGCAATACTATTACTTATGTTGGGTTTTTAAAGTATGGCATTTTGGAGAGTGTGATGGTTTGAGATTTCGAGTGACTTTTTTTGACTTTTTAAAATTTGAGATTTTTTAAGATTTTCAATTTTATAATGAATCACATGAAATCTTAAGTCTGAATATGAGGTTTTGAGTGAGATTTTATATTTTTTTTTTCTTTTAAAATGCCAAAAAATAATTTCAAGAAAGTTAAATATCATAGCATTTTGTAAGATTTTTTAAAAAATCTAATACCTATAGACTTTTAAAATTCTTAAAAGTCTAAATTAAATACAACAGGAATCCTGAAGTATTGAAAGTCGATAGAAATTCTAAACTAATACAAACTCTTGAGCTTGGAGTTATGTATTTATATTAAAAAAAATATGATCATCTAATTATTTGTAAAAAAGAATTGAAAAAAAAAGGAATATGTAGAGATAAATAAACTAAAGGGGAATGAAAGTAGACTAATATTATTTTTCTTTGGCCACCGTACAATATATATATATACAGCACAAAAAGTACACACACAAACAAAACAGAGCAACGGCTCACCGTCCATGGCCTCTGCCATCCCCTTCTTTCTCTCTCTACGCCCATAATTCTCTCTCTCTCCTCTCCATTTTCTCCACAATTCCGTTGACCGGAGAAAAAGATTTCCCCAACCCCTATGTGTATTTTCCGACCAATGTCTAGCGGCGGAAGTACCAGTCCCTCCAGCGCAACCGCCACCGCCACGGTCGTCAACGGCGGCGCCTGCGCCCACCAACGCCGCCGCGTCGCCGAATCGGCTGCCGACCTCTCGGAGATGGAGAAGCCTGCCGACCACGCGCCGGCCGTCCTGGACCACTCCAAGAGCGACGTGGACGAGGAGGCGCTTTCGATGTTCGGTGCTGCCGCAGGAAATTGCAGCGGCGGCGGCGCGTATGTGTACGGCTCCTTGAACCACCACCACCACCATCCGGTGATTAGGTACTTCCTGTCGCGCAAGAGGCTGCCGGAGAATTGGGCCATCGGCGCGTGGGGTGCCCTGAGCTCGAGGAAAAACATTGGCCGCACGGTCTTTGTGTTCCTCCTGGCGTTGGTGGCCGTATCGGCGTTTCTGAAGTTATCGTTCTCGATCGGCGGCGGAGCCGGCGGGAGGGACGCGACGGCAGAGAAAGAGGTCTTTTTTGTTCAGAATTTCAATAAAGATTCGATTTTTAATGCTCAGAAGGCGGTTTTGGACTCCGAGTCGTCGCCCGGCGGCGGCGCCGTGCAAAAGCGGCAGATGAAGGAGTTTCCGGTGAGTATTATGTGATCTCTAAAGTTGCCATCTCTTTTCTTCCTTTTTTTCACATTTTGCTTGACTTTTTTGCTAAAGCTTGTTAATTGCTTTTAGAAAGGGCTGAAATTGTGGAGTTTATGGCGTCAAGGGATAAGAATTTAGGGATTTCTTGAATTATTATGTTCTTCTTTTCCCTCTTAATTTTCATTGTTGATTTGCTTCAAGAAGATGAATTTCCAAAGGCCATTTTTTAATAAATAAAAGTCTGATATTATTATCTGGACATCCCACGTTTTTGGCTGGCAAGAATGTGTTTTTTTCTTTTCCATTTTTTTTTAGCTAACTCACCAATCTAAAGTCATTGCACTAAATTCCACCATCCAAAAGACACGGTATTATGGAAGTTTTT